GCGGCCGAGGAGGCTGGTCGCACGGCCGAGTTTGTGTGCGGCTGCACCGCGGCCAGGCGGAGCCACGCGCCGGCGATCGGGGCGCGCGCGCCGCCTGCGCATGTCGGCCCCTGTCTCCCCCACCAAAATAATAATAATAATAATGAAAAATGGGAGGGGGTCATATATTTTGGTTTTAGAGGGGTTTTAGAAAAAATATAACTCCCCCCAAATCGCAAATTTGAAATTGTGGGGGGGGTGGAACGTGTTGCGCACCCCGGGTTTGGCAAATAAAAAACACAAAAATTTGGTAAGGTGGGTCTCTCTCTCTCTCTCTCTCTATATATATATATATATATAGCCTCCTGATGAGTCGGTGAAACTCCGACGAACCAGTTTGTCACAGCCCCTCGTTTGTTGTCCTCTTCTCTCTCTCTGCCTACGGTTTACCGGTCAGTTCTATTTGTGACGATATCTCTCTCTCTGCCTACGGTTTACCGGGCAGTTCTATTTGTGACGATATATATTATATATATCGTCACGATATATATTATATATATCGTCACAAATAGAACTGCCCGGTAAACCGTAGGCAGAGAGAGAGAAGAGGACAACAAACGAGGGGCTGTGACAAACTGGTTCGTCGGAGTTTCACCGACTCATCATACATCTGTGTCTGACCACCACTGCCAAATTGCCCGAAGAAGAAGAAGAAGAACAATAAAAAAAGAGAATGAAACAGCAAAGAAGGAAAAGAAGAGCATTTAATCCAGCGGCCTAGCTCAGTTGGTTAGGCACGCAAGTGGCATTCCGGAGGTTGTGGGTTCGAGCCCCACAACCGCCTGGGGTGCACTTAGTGCCAACCAGCGTTGATAGTCCACTTGATACCTCTGATCGGTATTAGCAGGGTCCTTGGCCAACACGGGTGTGAATGTGAGTGTGAGTAGGTTGTGTGTGGTGTGTGGTGTGTGGGAGAGTGTTGGCCTCAGACACTACTGTTATTCGGTTGGGGGTGGGGGACTATGAAAAGGGAGGCGCAGCTACTGGAAAAATGCTCAGTCTTTGCGTTAGCCGGATCCCCACTGGCGGCCCCACCCCATCCTTGACCACCATGGTTGGGGCGGGGCCAACATGCATCCCCTCTGATGGCTAGAGGGAGAGAACAAAGCTATGTTTGCGGGGGTCCCCTGTATAAGCATTAGGAGTAGTGGTAGGTAGGTACGTCGTGAAGGTGAATTGAAAGAATTATTTGAAAGATGATGAAAGATTTGAGAGAAGAATATAGTGTAGGTAAAGAAGAAGAAGAAGAAGAAGAACATTCAGACGAAGAAGATGAAGAAGCAAAGAAGAAAAAAAAGAACAAAAAGAAGAAGAAGATGAAGTGAAAAAAAAGCAACAAGGAAGAAGAAGAAGAAGAAGAATGAGAAGAGGGGTAAGTACGTTCATGTCACCTTTGAGTACGGAATGGGCAAAAAAAAACATGCGTCGCCAAAAAGAACCGCGCCGAGTTCAAAAAGGCAACGGACGTACTGACTGCCATGGTGTCAGACCGGGTGTCGTATTTATTTACAGGGGTCGCCCCACCCGTGGTGTCAGAGGGGAAAACAAAAAAAAAAGAAAATGGCCAACAGATACTTTTGGACCGCAATCGCTCATTTCAAGTTGGCATGTGGTTTCTTTGCCGGCGCGAGTTCTTTTTGCCTTTAGGGTTTCAAAACATGCCGTGTCCGCTGTTATTTCATAAGAAGAAGAAAAAAAACAGCAAAGAAGAAGGGAAAAAAAAAAAAACCCTGCTTTTCTTTTTAGGAGGACTGTAGCTCCACATCAGTCGTGAAGAACATGAAAAAAAGAAAATCCTGCTTTTCTTTTTTTCTTTTTAATCGAGTTTCGTTTTTCATTTTTTTTTTAATCGTAAATCAAGTCAAATTCGAAAAAAAAAGTTACATGTAGGGTTTTGCAAACCCTACAACCCCATATACATACATATATCTAAATCTATATATCTGTTTGTGACGATATATATATATAATATATATCTGTAGAGTTTTCCTGCTGGTGTGGGTGAGTGATAGTCCTGTCTCTTATACACATCTAGATGTGTATAAGAGACAGGGCCTGTCCCGTTCACCAGCGCAAAAATGGAGC